CTTCAAAGGGCTTAAGAAAAGTCCCTACAATCTGTTTCTCATGAAGCCAAAGGATTACCAACATCCGAGGCACCGAGTCGTGTAATGAAGCCAGAGCGTGACCCAAAAACCTGGACCGGCTGCATTTGGTTCGGGAGATACCATCGTCTCGCTCTGGTTGTGTTCGTGAAAAGCGTGACAAAGCGATACGATTTCGATGGGCATAAAAAATGGCTGTCTCCGGTAAAAGTTGCTAACTACCGTCCTTGTTTCTTTTGATTGTTTGCGCCTGCGACGATTAGCAGATGCTGCTCCGATTGTGACAGACCTATCTGGTGTCGTTAGTTCTAGATAATGATAGGTTTTAGCCCAACTAGTCAAGCTGGCTGGACAGATAACATTTAACATAGAAAACGGTCCATGTTCCGTTTTCTTAAATGGTCATTGGATTGGTTGGAGGCATATCTAGCAATTTTGGGAGTGGCCGGCTCGCTGGGAGTTTAGCAAATGCTAAGATAACATTCACCTCAAAACAAGACACATTTTTGAATTGCTTAATATTATTGCTACAAATAAAAATCTACAACATGATGGTATTGCAGTATTAATTACCCAACAGTCTATCAACTCAGATTGAATAAGCTGTAATTGGTAATCATGAAGTCTCATCCCGAATGACTCACCCAGTTCAATCATCGTGTTAAAGGGTCTACCCTCAACAACCTTATCCAATGTGTCAAATTTTTAATCCTCTCATGCAAAGCAAGATGCCAGCATAAGCGACAGTGACAGATAGACCCGAAACTAACGAGTAGTCCTGCACACAGAGAGTAACTTATGTCTAACGATGATCCTGCAATTACACCATGTCTCTCTCTCCTTCGTGGCTTGACCACGTAGCGTGACGTCGCTCCGTCTCCCGTCGTGACGTCGTGACTGAGCCACAATGAACCCTGCCACGATCGCGTTGGACACGAAGCCGAGGGCTGGTCGAATTTATTATTATTATTGGAGTAGGTAATCACTTAGCTTGGGAAACGATTTTATCCTGAGATGTTTATTTGAGATCAAATAAAGTGCAGGATATGGCGGGCTATTTGGGTCTGTATGTGACTGCACTGCACTGCAGTAAACCAGTGATTATTTGTTTTCTTGCAAAATCCGTTGTATCTGTAAGTGCAAAAAGATGGTATTAACCACTTCGAAACTATGATGATTGGTGTGTCGCCTAAAGTTTAAAAACTTTTTGAGTGAGCTTTTACTCAAACACCTTTTTGAGCCAACTATCGGCCTTATCCACCACCGAATGTTTGTGCAACAACATTGGACCACCACTACACAGTTTCCTGGAAATTGTGACATGAGATTCGCATTGTTTCAGCCATGATGTATTGTGGCAATTTCGAAATTAAATTTCACAGTAGTTCACTTGGCAGCCATTATATTTCGGCCTTGTGCCGAACAATGAACTTTAACTGTATCTCCTTATGGGGTCAAAAGCAACAGTGGATTCAAAATAATCTACTACCTACGTATCGCTAACGAATTGTCAAGGAAACTTGTCTACACTCGTACATCTTCTTGTAAATGAAGAATCTTAAGGTATTTTTGTTTCGGTCAACAATTAACATCGGTTAACGCTTTTGTGTACAAACTAGTAACTGTGTTTGTTAGGACAAACAACCGACCGCAGATGATTTTGTGGATGATGGCTACCAACCAAATACTGTTGAAATACTGCACGATGATTTTTTGGACTGAAACACTTTCTTAGCTGATTGCTTCCGCGAATTTCTCTCGAGTTACTTTTACCTCAGCTCGAGCCTCGATTAGATAACTCTTCAGGAAATATCGGCTCTAATGAAATTTCACAAAGATGACATTTTAAAAATTTCTTTACATCACCACCAATGAAAATCCTTTTTATTACTGAAAACTACACTACTTACTCTTGCGTATCGAATCAAAACCTTCCCAAGATTTGGTAAACAATGTAGCTTAGGTAAGTCCTTTATTTGTATGTTTCGTCGATTTTGTAAAAATATGTGTAACTGTGAAATACCTAACTGCCTTGGTCGCGCATTAGATACGATCAATTACAAATTCCCAAGTGTCCGTGTAATATTGGACAGACAAAACAATGATACTAGGTATGTCCTCACCCACGGAACTCATACAGTCCTATTTACGATTCCACACAGTCTCCGAAGACAGGAAGCAGCGGCCATAACGAAGGAATCCGTGAACAGGCATTTTAATGTCCCGGGACACAAAGCAATTTGCGCTGCGGAGCTAAAGTAACTGGCGTAATGACGGGCTATTATTCTGTAAGGAATGTTAGTGTTACTAAGCTAGGTGAGCTTCGTGCCTCCATAGAACTAAGTATCTTTTGTGTAACAAGTTTTAATATCTCTACTGAAACGGTAACACCACAAGTAACACGCTCACTTTAATCAGGTTCAGCATTACCTACTTACTACCTATCTATGCGGATCATCTTTAATCTTTTTAGGAAACCATCCACCGATGGTGCTGGTCAGCTAGTTTTTCAGTAGGACGCAAGCCTTCCCCAGAGACCCCGAAAATCATGATCCTCTTTTTTCATCCAGCTATCTTCTTAAAATGTCGGCCTATCGAGCTTTACATCAGCGTGACTTTTGAAAATTCGTCAAGGCCCGATGCTGTCTAGGCCAGCATGTCTAGATAGAAAGTAACAATCAATACAGCTAAGTTTTCAGTTAAATGTTACGAATGTGCCCCAGGCACGATTGTAGCTCGCAAACCTTGAATCGTACGTTCACTAAGGAATACCTATGAGCATTTTATATAGACCTACGCCTCCGTTTGCATGCTAATTTTGGTTTTATGTGATCGATGGTTCGTTGGAAATCGTCGTGTAACCCACGGACTTACCGAACATCTAAGGACAGATGATTACTGTATGCACTACTTCTTATCTACAGGAATGTTACAGTTTCTGAGATACTTAAAGGTAGTCTGTTAACCTACATAGGAATATAGGTACCTAATACTATTGTCTGTATGCGGATTCGAGGGCAAAGACTAAGGCTATTTAAATAACTTTTTTTTTTTTATGCTAGCCAAGGCAGGTATTTGACCGCAATCGCACCTGGTGTTAAGTGAGATGCAGTCTAGGATGGTACATATCTGCCCTGTAAGTGCCTATTCACTCTCGCCTTGAAAACGCCCGGATTATAGTGTTCAGGAAATACAGCAGCTAACTACTCGATCGATAAGTCTACGACCTACCTACACTACAAGCAAATGTGAAACCGTTAATAAACTTAATTAGCATACGTTAACCGTCGCGTAGAAAGTCCTTAAAACAAAACCTAAGTGGTTTTTCAAGTTTCGTGAAGTTTATTCATGAATAAAGATAAAAGAACAGTAAGTTCAGACTTTCAATAAAGGTATCGCTCACACTCCCCAAAATGACCAATGTTAGTGACAATATTTAATGAAGGCAGGTTTAACTTGCATAGTAAAATGCTGAGTCATCTCGGTTGTGACGTGCGACCTCTACGTCCTTGCGCAGACGTCCTCCTAACCCCAACCACAAAGTAACTGAGACGTGGAACTTTTTATGCCTGTTGTGAGAGCCGTTTGCGATCGCCCATGCGTGTCAATAACGGACAAGAATACCTGCCACGAAACAATGTGATCTGAATTTTCGTTATAATTAAGATGGCGTCGTGAAGCAAAAATTAAGATACTTCGTCGTAATTTTGTTGTTACTTTCTTCTTTTACGGTTCCAATCGTAAACAACCTTGTTAAACCTGCGGCGTAAAAAGGAATCGGGCAACCGGTTGGCGCTGTTACTTTGTGCAGTTTGGTCAAAGAAACGCAATATTTTTTCTCGCATTTTGCTTGTCACTTTTATTTTTACCTTGGAAGTACCGTAGGCCCGTAGCGTCGTCGTAGAGTTGTCATTTGTGTATTACCTACTTGCTGTATTAACTGTAATTTCTACATTTCATTCAGGTTTTTGTGGTCATCGATATAAAATTCACCAAAACATCAAAATAAGGGCTATAATTTCAACATCCTCAAGCAAATTTGAAAACTATGGCATCCTATTTTAAAGGTGTGCTCACGCGTAAAATATTACGTTACATTATACGAATTCGTCTGCCGGCTCGACAGTTGGTATGCCGCTAAGCAGAACGTGACGGCATGAATAAATGGGGTGGCTCAAAAGGCAGGAAGCCATGGTGGCGAAGTGCAAGGGCGCGTATAGTCCATGGTATAGTCGCGTCGGCCATTGTGACGTAATGCGTAATTGCTGGTCGTTAGTCTATTGGAAAAGAAAAAAAAGATAAAAGCACCGGCGCACCTGCATAGCTCCTGTTGGGAATTACCAATTCTTCACGGGATCTTTATTTTTTAATTCGGGCACAACTACTCTTAGAGCAGAGCGTTGAGTTTAATTCTTTTTTTCGCAACAAAACACAATATTGCTAAAACCCGGTGTCGGCACGTCCGTCTATTCTTTACTATGCCCACCCCCGGTGTCTGTTGGTCAACTCCTTTAGGTAGTACCTAAATCGATTTCCTTGCGAAATGTAACTAACAATAGAATTACAAGCGTAGGAATTGAAATGTGCAGTCAAATGGTTAACAATAGGCGCCATAGATCAAAATATCATGAAAAGTTGTTAGCATGAAAATAACTGTTGAACTTGATGAAAGATAGTGGCGAAATATTTGCATTTGAATTTATTAGACCATAAATTTAACCTAACCTAAACCTACCAAAGCATAAACTCACATAAATATTCTTGAGATTAGTGTCTCAGTCTGCCTCAGAAAGAATTATTGCGCGTGGCATGATAAAAAACGCAATCGTAACTCCTAAAATATTTTAAAACACTTATCAAAAGAGTTTTTTAGACATGGGTTCCCCACCTAAACATATTTTTTTTAATTGCCGTTAAAAAAGTCTAGGCTATGTGACTATGACACAAGGCACAATATTCAACCGCACATCTCTTCTTTCCAGGGTAAACACCAAAGCGGGATAACTTTCACCAGCACAGAAGAGCCGGTGAAGACTGACAAGCCGTTCCCTGACATCCGGCTGGTGGACGGGCCCTCGATCCTTGCTGGAAGGGTGCAGCTCCTGCACCGCGGCCAATGGCGGTCCGTCTGCACCAACTCGAGGAAGTGAGTCCAACAAACAGACTAATTAAAGACATAATAGTTGTATGTAATATGCTCATACACATCAGGAATGCTATAATAATTTGAAACCGAAAGTCAGATTATGAAATTGAAACGACCTGGATATCGTATTTTACACAACTTTTACACCTTCTGATTTTTTCCAGTTATGATGTCTTCAAATTGAATCAGGGTAATCTAAAGCTTTATGAGGTTTATAATGTCTCCAGAATCTAAATTAACTGTAGGTATACCTAATTAATTAGTATCTAATTAAGTTTTACATTTCCTACGTGATGTAGGAATGATTTTCGAAGCTTTTTATTGGTACATGTCATTGTGTTGATTAGTCTCATTAAATTAGCTTTCGTAATCACACGATGCTTTGGTGCTCATTCTAATGGGAAACTTGTTATTTCCAGTTGGACCATCAACGATATGGAAACCGCGTGCAGGCAGCTCGGCTTCATGGGCGGCTCGTTCTACAACTGGATGGACCGGCAGCCCGGCCGCCGCGTGCGCTTGCTCTTCGAGGAGCCCAAGTGCAAGGGCACTGAATACGACCTCTTCCAGTGCGATTGGAACTCCCGACAGCTCGGCTCAGGAGTCTGCGACTTCCATCCCGACCTCGCCATCCAGTGTCTCCCGCATCACGACGACAACGAACTCGGTAGCTCCGGACGACACTGGCGAGGCATACGATTCGAACACGCCGTCTTCGAACGAATACTCACAGCAGTAAACACTTTATACGTCCCCACATCGATGTCTAGACTCGTACACGTAGCCATAAAAAACGCCGGCTTGGGTAGGGATAACAATGCGACTAGTGCCTTAGACATAATTGGAGTGCCGCCGGTAATGGAAGACATTGAGATATCCAACTCCGCTTTTAACGCTATCAATGTGACGTCACCCAATGCTCCCATCGTTATAAACAACTGCACTATTCAGAACAATAGAGGCTACGGCGTCTACGTGAACTCTACGTACGGCATGGCTAGGATCGAGAATTGCCTGATTCACGACAACGGCGGCGACGGGGTCAAATACGTGGTGCACGAAATGAATATAGACGAGAGGCTCGATCGCAGCGAAATATTCGACCTGTGCACGCTGGCGTCCACGCCTAGTCAAACGTTTCCATTGCAGATGTCTATCGAACAATCCCGATACTCTAACATGGAAAGGGATTGCAGCCAAAGATTCTTTACTAGATCCGATCACGTTTTAACATTAAACTTTATCAAACTCCTGACGAATCAGAATGAGACTGGGGAAATTTATGTTTACGACGGCCTCACGGCAGACGATAGACTGTTACTTACGTTTAGCATAAGAAACCATACTCGACCTCAGAGTGTAGCTTCCACGAGAAATCGAATGTTTGTGAGATTCAGGGCCAATACCAGAACTGATATTGTTGGCTTCCTGAGATTGACATCGGGAGTGAGCAAAACATATGATTTGAATGTGACCGATACCATCATATCTGATAACAACGGTCGAGGTGTTGCCATTGAGAATTTAAGATCACAAATTCATATTCATCGCACGTCAATATCTAATAATAACCATGTCGCTGGTCTGCATGTTGTGAGTGGAGCGGGAGATGTAAATGTGACTGAGAGTAGAATATCGTTCAACCAAGGCGATGGTATAAACATCACAATGACTGGAGGAAACCGAAATGTATCGAGAAGTATTTTGAGCTCGAACCAAGGATACGGTGTAGCTGTGTGGCTAAACAACACTCAAGAGACTGAATACATATCAATAAATCAAACCACTGTTGTAGAATACTCAGAGATATTTAAAAATCTGGATGTTGGTATTTTGCATGGGAATTTCTGTGGTGATAGTTGGGTGAATATCACTGGCAATTGGTTTAATACTAGCATGGAAAGCACTATAGAAATATCAACGTGCTGGAGATTGAATAATCCTGTTAGATTGCTCAATTTACAGATAGGTCACAATAGGTTCTATCAAAACCTAAAAGTTCCTTTGAAAATTCAACCAGCTTTAAATGTGATGGGACGGATAGAATATAATTACTTTGAACATGGAAACTTTGGTGCGATCGTAATAATGAATCGAATAGAAGGGAAACACATAGAAGAATTTGAAATACTACCGGCTAGATTCCAGATACAACATAACTATTTTGCTGGGAATAAGGGTCCATTTGTTGTAAATCTTGGCCTCTCACCCTATAGTGACATCCAATACATATTATTTTCAAGAAACTTTCTACGAGACAACAAAATAAGAGAACCATTTGAGCCGCTGGAAGGTGTGTCATCTCGACTTATCCCTCGAAGTAGAGTAGCAGCTGCAATAGTACTTGCATCCAGTAACATCGATGTCTTTAGAAATATAATTAATAATCCAGAAGCTCAGTATGAAATTGGTTCACACGTTGAAGACCAAAGCAAGTTCCTCAATTGCACATACAACTGGCTTGGTTTCGGTGAAGAAGAAAAAGTTTACAATAGATTGTTCCATAGGAAAGATAGATACAATTTGGCTAAAATACTTTATATGCCCTACCTCCTGCATAGCAGTAACCCCGGTGCTACTCAAATAAATTATAATTCACTACACGTTCCTCAATTTAATGTACCAGGTACGTTTGTTGTGGGTGGAGAAGTAGAGGGTATAGAAATTCTAAGAGCAGGAGAATACGATGTAGACAAAGACATTAATATTAGACCTGGAGGTAAACTTATATTGCAGTCAGGAGTCACATTGAAATTTCCGCCAGCTATAGGAATAATGGTTGCAGGAAAACTTGAAGCTAGAGGCAAACGTCCCAATGATATCACATTTACACTGAAAGAAGAGATTATCATGACTAATGATAGTGTTTATGAAACTGATACTGAAATGGAACCTACTACACCAGGTTACATAGAACCAATAGTGCCCATAAGACTTTTGGGAGGCCGCACACCACATGAAGGTAGGCTACAGGTTAGAATAGACGAAAAATGGGGAACAGTATGCAACTACCGATGGAATATAATCAACGCTGCAGTAGTTTGTAACCAACTTGGATTAGTTCTAAATCCAAATGACTGGTTTTTAGAACCTAATGAAATACCAACTGCTGGAATGAACGAAGAAACTATTTTGTCCAACGTTGAGTGCACAGAATTTGATACTGATATTACTAAATGCAAAGCTGAGACGAGGGAAAATTTTGAGAATTCATGCGATCACGATAACGATGTAGGTATACGGTGCTATGAAACAAGTTGGGCAGGGTTGAGATTCAGCGTTATTTCAGAGAGAACAGACTTACAATATATCACTATCGAGAAAGCTGGACTCCTTGATTACTCGTCAAATGCCTTCAAACCTGCACTTCAAGTTGATTTTGCACGGCATGGCATTGAAAGCGTTAAGATATCAAACAATTACCACGATGGGCTGGGCATCTTGTACTCTGACTTGTACAGTGCTGATGCTGTTAATACTGTCAGAAATTCAGAATTCAGCAACAACAGAGGCAGCGGTATAAGCTTCAAGCAACTTGGTCTAAAAGTATTCACATCTGTGATAGAAAATAATGAAGTCGCTGGCATATCTCATAATCCTCATTTGACTGGACCCCAACAGAGAGAATTAGCCGGGTGGTTTAATTTGGATCCTGGTTTTAATATGGATGAATCCAGTTACCGACCTATTTTTATACCAGAGTACGAAACCGATATTAGTTTAGTGAATGGAGAGACAAGATACTTAGTTTTCACTAAACATTACGGCGAAAACATAGCTAAAACTTACAATATAAAATGTAATCCTGGTTTCGTTCTTGGACTGCAACTGTTGAACCCTATCCACAACTTCTCTTCAGAAAGTATTTGTATTTATGATTCCCAGAATATTAATGAAGGCAGTACACAATGGTGTCTAGACCGTGATTTGTCAACATTCCCGACCACGAGCAGTAGTTTTGGCGTGGTGCTAACGTACGAGAGTGGTAATGCCGCTTTAGGAGCCGTCGTACTGGTAGTCAGTTCTGTCCCTGCACCAGTTCAAAATATCAGAAACAGAATAATCAAGGGTCCCGTACCTACTTTGCAAGTCACGAATTCTAAAATCAAAGGGAATACTATCGGTGTAAAGGCTCTCTATTACAACAGATTCCTAAATGAAATAGGAGACCACTTTTTGCGCAAAGCTAATGAGACTATCAAAATATTTAATTGTGAAATTGCTCATAATAAAGAAGAAGCAATTTATGTTAACACGCCTTTCTGGGATATCCACGAAAGTAATATTACCGAAATAACTATTATGATTAATAGCAGTTTGATTACTGATAATGGAAAAGGAATTTACCACTTTGCAAGAGATTTGAGAAGTGCTAACAACCTTTATCACTACGTATTACAAGATAACACATTCGAAAGGAATAAGTTAGGAGGATTTGATGTGGCACTACCCTACGTTTGGCAATATAACGAAAATTTCACTCATTCGATCTACATGCACAACAATACATGGCGAAGTAATCAAAACTTCGGTATGATCATAGATGGACATTTTGCTGAGGTCAATATTACAAAGAATGTCTTCACTGATAACAATTGCAAATCAGGATTGATATCTATCAGGGGAATGGAAAAGAAAATGAGAATCGATGGTAATTTTATAGAAAAGAACTTCGGGCAGTTCATGGTTCAGTTTTACATGGACAGTCAAAGCGAGATTATGGGTATTGTTTATGCCGTGTTTGTTTACAACCAAGTAAAAAATAATAAACACAGCATGATTATGAATAGAGGATCAATAATAAGAAGTATAGATCCGACTTACGTTATCGGATTCAAGGGTATACAGAAAGTAAAAGTGAGTAGAAACTTATTCGGGAACAATGACTTGCAATATACTTTAGTTGCCGGAATAAGAACAGCTAAAATCAATAATCTCTTGGATGTGACTGAAAACTGGTGGGGAAGTTCAGTTCAGAAGGATATAAAGAAGCAGATTTTCGATTTTGATGATTGGAATAATCATGCTATCGCTACTTACCTGCCCTATTTACTAGAAGATAATCTTGACTCTAGCGTATCGGCTACCTTTAGTACTGATTCTACTATGGACACAAATGAACTTGGTGGGCGACTACTTTCCGATTTTATTCTTGAATCTCGGTTAGCTCCATACACGGTGAAAGCTGATATCACCGTGATGCCTGACGTAACTTTAACGATCAACCCAGGTGTTATATTGGAGTTTGCCCCTAATGTTGGCATACTGGTAATGGGAAGACTTGAAGCCATTGGCCACAGTCAATCGCCTATAATAATGAAACCCATCGAAATGGCGAAAAATTCGGAATTCAATAGAATCGAAAAGCGAGCAATCGGTCAATATTCGCCTAGTCATCATAAACAAAGACGGCAACTAGAAAATTTTGTTGTAGAAAACTCTATAAGACTTTGCACAGCAAGAAACTGTTCTGTTGGCGATAACTTAGTGGAAAGAAAGAACGAAGGTTTCCTGGAATACTATAATAGAACGACTCTCCAGTGGGTGCCAATGTGTGATAATAGATTTACAGAACGAAACGCTCAAGTAGTGTGCCGAGAACTGGGATTCGACCCAATCAATGTGTTCTTTGCTCACGATCGTCGAGTGGAATACCACAGCAATTCTTTGTCAAGAATCTGGTCTTGGCCAGAGCCTTTGCAATGTGTTGGAACTGAAGATCGCTATGATGATTGTCCTATCAGGCTCAACGGTCAACTTTATGGTCACAGACACGAATGTAAGTGGGATTCCAAATTTGTATTCATTCACTGTGGTACAAGAAACTTGGATGAAAACCTTGACTATTGGGGCGGTATAAGATTCACAAATCCTGAATTTGAATACTCTTTGTACGAACATCGAATTCACGATCATCATACTCATGATACAATGAAGAAGGTTGAAAGTTCAATGGCACACGTACAAATTATGGGGGCGGGTATTCTTCACAATGAGAAATCGCCCGCAATTCAAAGCATCACAAGAAATCCTAATATTAGAAACGTTAACATCACTAAATGTGCTCACCACGGTATTAATCTCATATCACCAACGGATACGATTGACATGAGGTTTACCTCCGTTAATGATGTATTGGGCGAGGGAGTAAACACAATATCTCTGACTGGAGAAGGCAGAGAATCAGAAGAATCTAGTTTTACGCCTTTGAAAGATCTGAATCTCCCGTATCATCTGTTTTCCCTAATTAACATTTGTGATAGCAGCAAAATGATCGTCGTTGAAGAGAGAGTATTGCTTTACTACAAATATGATAACAATCCAGTTAACTGTGTCAAGATCTTCAAGAGCATGTATAGAGTCAAGCCTTTTGGATTTAGATTATTGCAATTTAATTTATTCAATCACACTCAAGATTATGGTAAAAGAGATTCATTGACTCTTTATGATGGGGATATCTATAACATCACGGCACCTATGATTGGCTACTTGGAGAATGGATCACCTGATGAAAAGAAGCTCTTCAGGACTGACGGAGGAAGCTTGAGCGTCAAACTCTTTGCTAATGGTGCATCAGCTGTCCACGGCTTCATTGCTGAGATCGTCACGTTGCCAATATCTGCTATTGGAATCAGTAAGTTTCAAAATAACTATGCAAATATGTACTTTGAACATCTTTGTTAATCATTCTGATTTTGACATTGTCTTTGCAGGTCGAGACGTCCAGCACAATATATCCAACAGTGAATTCATAAATAATAGAGATGGTGCTATTACATATCAATCTGTGGGCGAGGTCAATCCGTTAGTTGCTATCACTCGGAATGAAATCTCAGGAAACTGCCTCAAGTTGTACGGAAACTTCACCTCCTGCCAAGCTGCTGTCAGAGTCGATGTCCAAAATACGCAGACTTTGGTGTTCAGAGTGAGTATAATAATCAGCAATTTATTGATATTATTCTTCTTTTTCTATATCTTCTATAATATAACTTGGTTTGCAAATTCTAGAACAATCTCATTCGGAAAAATGTTGGAGGTCTATTGGTTAGAGCTGATTCACGAGGATCAGCTACGTCTCTGCGTGGGTGGATACACAATAATCTCTTCTTCGGCAATCATGACTTGCCTTGTCTTCAAGTGGAAGGTGAGTTTTAAAATTTTCTTGGAGGTTTTGTTATGAAGATTTAAGGTGGCATTAGGATCTTTTCTAATTTATTCACTAACATTTCAGGTCGCCAGTCGTCCCCGTACCAAGAAGTAACAATCTACCGCAACTACTTTACCCGGAACAACGTCCCATTCAAGGATGTGATAGTGCTCAGACAGGTCGTCTCCAACTTCACTTTCAACTACGTTCACGGCAACACGGGCCAGAGGATCCTCGAGGTATCAGGCTTCGACAAAGTCAGACTGCCAATCTACCAAACCACTTCACATAATGGATTTTACAAGTGAGTTTAGCTTTACTGAACTTAGGTTTGATTTCGTCAAATTGATTGAAAAATTGACAATATTTTTTTATATTTTCTAGAAACTATGCATTAGATCGGGAAGGAAGAGCCACTGTCGTAGCGGGCACCGCTGGTCAGCACTATGTCGATAACATTTTCTTTAACCCAGACAATGATTATGAGATGATAACTGTCAACAGATCTATGTAAGTTTTTTGTTGTATATGGGCTATTACGGTATAATTAAATGAATTTAATGATGACTTTTGGCTTGTTAAAGACCCTGAAAACCTTTTGAAATGCATGTTTCCATTTACCTGAATGGTAAACTAAAAATAATTTTAATAATGTGATATCTAACTAGATAATATTATCATTTCTTACGAATTTATGTTGCATGAATTAAATTATTCAAAATGATGGAAAACAATTTTGTGACACATTTAATTCTGAGTTATAAAGTGGCTGATAAACAAATTTATTTGCATGTTTCTGTTGCATGGCTGCCCTTGGACCATAGCTTTCTTGACTATAACCCAAACGTCATGAGGTAAGATTTATGTTCTCATTAATCTTCAATTTGTGAAAATATCAGTATCATTCTACTTTGCACTTTATTATTAAGGGTATTTTTTTGTGAACTTATAATTCCAGTGCCCTGGATCTTTGGCGAACGCGTATAGACGCCAAACACAACTTCTGGAGTTACAACGAAACCTTGGCTGTAGCCGGTCGGATTAGGGATCAGTCGGATAACCCATTGCTACTAGAGGTGGACTACCGACCCTTCTATATGAACAACCAGACGGTGCTCGGCGGAGGCAAGTGCCCGCCAGGCTGGGACGTCGTCGCTGACACTTGCTATATGTACGTGGGCGCGCCCATGACTTATGAAGAAGCGAGAATGTTCTGTTTGGTGAGTTATCAAAATTAAATTATGAATTTACAGGTTCACATTTTACGTGCTTGTTTCAATTTACTACAAATTCGGTTGAGCAAGTGCTTTACCTGTGACATTTGGTTCTACCTCCATCTTGATCATCAATGTCCATCAGGTGTCATTTGATTAAGTAAATAAAAAGTCACCGAATAGTCACCAAAACTGCCATTTGATTTCGGATAAAATAGATATTTTTTCTTGTACTCTGAGTGAATTTACAAAGGCATCATTATTAATTGTTATATTATTATGTTATGTGTAGGTTTGTATGTATGTAGGTGGTTACTAGTTGTGTATTTGACGTTGTGTATGTTGATGTGTTGTCTTCGCTGTCGCAGTGGGATGTCCTGTGATGACAGTGAAGTGTTGTTGTTATTGTAAATAAATAAATAAAAATAAATAAATAAACTATTGATGATGTCTTTCCTTACATTCAGTCGGACAACGCGTCAATGCCATACGTGAGCAGCAACTACGCGGCGCTCTACGAGTTCATCCAGAGACAGAACCAGTGGTTCCAGTACGGGGACCGCGTGTGGGTCAACCACATCGACTACGTCACGCAGTGCACCTCTTTCTCTTTCTCAACCATCGACGTCACCGACTGTAACCAGAAGAATGCTTTCATTTGCGAGATCGGTGAGTGTAGCTAAAGAATTAGATACATGAATGGGTTCATCGAGTTCATCTAGCGGCAGAACCAGTAGTTAGAGTACGGCGACTGCGTGTGGGTCAACCATATCGACTACGTCACGCAGTGCACCTCCTCCACCATCGACGTCACCGACTGTAACCAGAAGAACGCATTTATTTGCGAGATCGGTGAGTGTAGCTAAAGTATTAGATACATGAATGGTTTCCTCGAGTTCATCCACCGGCAGAACCTGTGGTTAGAGTACGGGGACCGCGTGTGGGTCAACCACATCGACTACGTCACGCAGTGCACCTCTTTCTCTTTCTCCACCATCGACGTCACCGACTGCAACCAGAAGAACGCATTTATTTGCGAGATCGGTGAGTGTAGCTAAAGTAATACCCCCTTACTAATAAAAAGTTACACAGTTGTTGAACACTGTTTTAAAATGACATTTCCATACTAAACGTCATTTTAAAACACTGTTCAACGAGCGTGTAAGTTTTATTAGTAAGTGTGTTAGATACATGAATGGTTTCCTCGAGTTCATCCACCGGCAGAACCAGTAGTTAGAGTACGGCGACCGCGTGTGGGTCAACCACATCGACTACGTCACGCAGTGCACCTCCTCCACCATCGACGTCACCGACTGTAACCAGAAGAATGCTTTCATTTGCGAAATCGGTGAGTGTAGCTAAAGAATTCGATACATGAATGGTTTCCTCGAGTTCATCCAGCGGCACAACCAGTGGTTCCAGTACGGCGACCGCGTGTGGGTCAACCATATCGACTACGTCACGCAGTGCACCTCCTCCACCATCGACGTCACCGACTGCAACCAGAAGAATGCTTTTATTTGCGAGATCGGTGAGTGTAGATAAAGTATTATTACAAAGACGAACCATTCAAGAGTAGATACTCTTAGTAGTAGGTAAGAAGGTTCTTAGGTAGGAAATAAATAATTTTATCAGAAAGTTGTGATACTTCAAGTTAATCCAAAGACCACAAGTTTCTTTCACCCCATTTTTTTTTAAATCCATTTACTTTAAATCCATTTGTTTAGGCCGTGCCTTTATCAGTCCAATTACTATGCCTAGTTGAATAATAAGGAAAATAATAAAAGGATTTACCTACTTAAGCAATGCTGGTAGATATTGCAGAATGAAAACGATACATAATGAAATTGGTCCTTCGAGCCGGATAGTTTGTAATAAAAGCGATGTAACACCCGTATTCACCAACATTACTATGAGGTCTTACAGTGCGAGTGGACGCACAGGGTGACCAATCACAGAGCTCTTTTCAACGCTGCGTTCGATTTGCTGCTTCACTTAAGCAAGCATCGTTTGTTAATACGAGCGTTATGTAATTTATGTGTATGTGTGTTGTTCGCGACTTATTTATGGTGTCACTTGCCCAGATCCGAAGATCTCAATCGACCCGATGTCGTGGCGCGGCGACATGCTCGCCGTGGCGTTCATCGGCGTGCTGGCCGCTACAGTACTGCTGGTCGGCGCCGCGCTCGTCTGCTGGTACTCCAAGTCTAAGCACAGGTAGGCACTTCTTCTTGCATTGTCTGGACTGTAAAAAATGATATCACAACCCTATCGAACTTTAAGTTGTTATAGGCGTCTGACATGATCTAATCGCCTTAAATGCTCTCTGAAGCACGGAATCTTTCTAACATCATATTGATTTAACCCTGGAATTTTAATTTTAAGGTCAACAGACGGCTATAAAAGACATGATAATTATGCTGATCGAGTTGTCCTATATACTTATTTATAGCAAATTAATTGTGCGGGTAGTTTTTAATGTTGTAAAGATATTTTTTTTAAAGTAAGAGGACTCTTTATTCAATAAACAATTATTTTACAATAATACATTAACTTAAAAAATTTAAAAACTACTAATTATAAAAACTATTTACAAAATAAAAAATACTTCACCCTGGACTAGGAACAAAGTGATTTTGCACTACCTATTTACTTGTCCATGGAAATCGACCTCGAATTTTTGAGTCAATAGTTTCACCGTATAGTTCTGAACCACGCAAACGGGCAATACGGGCATGTCTTAAGCCCATCTCTAAACGTCTGCCGAAAAATATAAAAGCATCTATAGTCTGGTCTGTGAGCACGTAGAATTTTGTCCAAAGACCCCAAGCTACCCATCCTTATCGCTCGCGCGTAATTATGTTGCTGTCGCGCTCACACTCACTGCGGGCGCCCGTCGCACAGTCGCAATATAATTACGCGCGAGCGATAAGGATGGGTAGTTTGGGGTCATTGGACAAAATTCTACGTGCTCACAGACCGGGCTTTAGTAGAAACATTGGGTAAGAAAACTCAAAAACCACCTTATATACCTGAAAATAACGTCTATAATTGTGTCCACAGACATCTGCAGCGCCTGGAGCGCCGCAACTCGATCCGGCAGTCGCTGCACTCCGTGCGCTCCATCGGCAGCATCAACGGGCTCGCCGACACCGCCTACCGACGCAAGCTCGCGCAAATGGTACGCAATCATTTTGTGAACACCCTGTATAAATGGTTTTGATTTGTAAAGCCTGGTCCGTGAGCACGTAGAATCCCGTCCAATGACCCCAAGCTACCTATCCCTATCGCTCGCGCGTAATTATGTTGCTGTCGCGCTCGCACACTCACTGCGGGCGCCCGTCGCACAGTCGCGACAGCAACATAATTACGCGCGAGCGATAGGGATGGGTAGCTTGGGGTCATTGGACGGGATTCNGGAAGCTTATTAAGAAAAGCTCGTTCTGTGAGCTTATGATGTAGCTAGTTAATAATAGTGTTATTATAATATTTTAATAGATGCTCAAGAATAGAGTAATGTTTTAGTAGGTATATTATTTACTTTTATAGAACCTAACTGTTTAATACCACTGACTTATTTACGGAACGAATACTTTCAAAACGAATACGAAACGAAAGACCACAAACTTTAAACTAAACACTTTAAAAACATATAGTATGTGGTTATATTTGCAACAAAATTATCTAATTTACCTAACATAATTATGCCAAGCATATTACAGCTATAATAGAGCCATTAACATCACACTTATTCACACCATCAACCATCATCTAATTAACGTAATAATATTTGAATTTCAGACCAAACTGCGTCAGAAATTGGCGCTGCAAATCAAACTCGAATAAACTAATAATTCAGCATTGTAAATAGGAGAAATCCTCGAAAACGGTCCACATTTCAGCTCCTAATTCATAGCCCCAACCAAGCTCGCATTATTAATAATGGCCTTGCATTTTGACGGCTTTAGCAAAAGCTCCGAGCTTCCAGACTCCAAGCCGGAAGTGTGTCATAGTCTAGTCAGATACCATCTGCGCTATGACGTGACTTCGCGTCCAATAAATTAATTTTCAACTTGAAAATCCCCATCGTCTGAGCCAAGTTGTGCCACAAAGAGGGACTGTTGAGGCGATTGGCCTCCGAAACAAAGGTGTCTAAATTGTTGTTGCTAAACTGAGGGAAAACTATGCCATTTAATTCCGTTGGCGAGCTGGCCTCGACTCGGAGAATCAACTGCTTTGTTCAAAATATTAATATCTCGGATGAGAAATAGCCAATGGCTGATGCTTGTTTTATGTGAGTTTTAGAACAGGTTATCCATCTATCCTTACGTAATCTATCTTTTTGTAAAAGCTATCGATCTACTCGTACGTCAACGGGGTTTTTCTTTATTTAGGACCCCTCAATGCCTTTTTATAGAGTGTTGAATGGGGGATATTTTCACTAAGTAATGAAAGGTAGTGTCAGGTACAGACGGCCGCGATATCACGCTAAACATTGTTGAGTCTTATGTAATTTTCATCATCATCATCATTTCAGCCCTAAGAGATCCCCTGCTGGACATAGGCCTCCCCAAATGATTTCCACAAAGGCCGGGTGGTAGAGGCCTACATCAAGCGCCTTCCTGCTACCTTTAAGGTTTAACTTTTTAAGGTTTTTAAGGTTAAGGTGATACTTTTTAAAGCTTTTTGCCAGTCGTTCTATGCGTGTAATCTGTGGGTAAGCTATACGCTGAAGACCACCAACGCCCTGCGTGTACAGTATAATAACGCGTTCAGGATGTTGCTGGGGCTGCCACGGTACTGCAGCGCGTCAGGCATGTTTGCCGAAGCACATACTGATGGCTTCCATGCCATTCTTCGGAAAAGGGCAGCCTCTATGCTGAGCCGTGTGCGTGGGAGCTCCAACGACATTCTGCGCGTTGTAGCCGGCCGAGTAAACTGTCCATTTATCACGCAGTGGGTTCGGCTGCATGTGTAAAATTTAATTGATAGTTCTTTTTAATTTATTTTTATTATGTAAGACTGACTGTTTTGGCTTTTGAATATTTTTCCTTATTGTATGGACTGTATTGTGTCTGAAATAAATTTTATTGATTTGATTTGATTTAGTAACAAAATTCAGTAAAAACAAATGGAAAGTCAGAGGTGTGCTTAATACCCTGAGCCTCAAGCTTAAATACCCTCAGTGAGGGCATTTAAGGATCTATGGGGTCCTTTTATGAGAGCAGACAAGGCCCCCACGATCGTGGAGCTCTGTGCACGTGTCCAGAGAGCCCATTGTTGGCAAAGAAAGAAAAATATTTATTTGGCATCAAAAGCCAGTAAGTTGTAGCTGGCATTTAACCTCGTAGCGCCCACGCGCCTTTTGATAACCCAAAATAAACATGGCGACTACAGCCCAGAACTTTTTTCAACTAACTTTCAATTACCGCTCATGCGCCTTTTAGAAGGCAATATTATTAAACTCTGTCCAGATTTTTGAAATTTCGCGGCTTAAAGAAATAATTTAATTCAATTTCTGAACGAAATATTGGGGNAGCGGCAGAACCAGTGGTTCCAGTACGGCGACCGCGTGTGGGTCAACCACATCGACTACGTCACGCAGTGCACCTCCTCCACCATCGACGTCACCGACTGCAACCAGAAGAACGCATTTATTTGCGAGATCGGTGAGTGTAGATAAAGTATTATTACAAAGACGAACCATTCAAGAGTAGGTACTCTTAGTAGTAGGTAAGAAGGTTCTTCGAAATAAATAATTTTATCAGAAAGTTGTGATACTTCAAGTTAATCCAAAGACCACTACACAAGTTTCTTTCACCCCATCTACTTTAAATCCATTTGTTTAGGCAGTGCGCCGTGCATTTGTCAGTCTAATTATTATAGTTCAATAATAAGGAAAATTAGTAAAACGATTTACCTACTTAAGCAATGCTGGTAGATATTGCAGAATAAAAGCGATACATAATAAAAATTGGTCCTTCGAGCCGGATAGTTTGTAATAAAAGCGATGTAACACCCGTATTCACCAACATTACTATGAGGTCTTACAGTGCGAGTGGACGCACAGGGTGACCAATCACAGAGCTCTTTTCAACGCTGTGCGTTCGATTTGCTGCTTCACTTAGGCAAGCATCGTTTGTTCATACGAGCGTTATGTTATTTATGTGTATGTGTGTTGTTCGCGACTTATTTATGGTGTCACTTGCCCAGATCCGAAGATCTCAATCGACCCGATGTCGTGGCGCGGCGACATGCTAGCGGTGGCGTTCATCGGCGTGCTGGCCGCTACGGTACTGCTGGTCGGCGCCGCGCTCGTCTGCTGGTACTCCAAGTCTAAGCACAGGTAGGCACTTCTTCTTGCATTGTCTGGACTGTAAAAAATGATATCACAACCCTATCGAACTTTAAGTTGTTATACGCGTCTGACATAGTCCAATCGCCTTAAATGCTCTTTGAAGCAGTGTTGCCAGAAGGTTAGCTACTTTTGTAACCTTTTAGGTAACTTTTGAACTGCATTGGTTACTTTTAGGTTACACTAATGAAAAGGTTACTTTTAGGTGATTTTTCGGAATTTGTAGAATTAACTTTTACAGGTTATTAAGTAAAAAAATACTAATAGTGTCAATTTACAAATTATTCAACTTGAAACGTGACACTTTCAAAATGTTGATTACTTCCAATTAATTTTCATTAATAATAACACTTTTTATGAATTTCGGCTGATTGGTAAGATAAGAGTCGAAGATGAAAGATGTCGGTACGAATCAGCTTTATGATATCAATCGCATGTATGAAGGTTACTTTTTTTCAAAAAGGTTACATTTTTTTATATTTCGGGTTATTTCTGACAAGACCCTACTGGCAACACTGCTTTGAAGCAAGGATTTTTTCTAACATCATATTGATTCAACCCTGGAATGTACTTATTTAAGATCCAAACTAGGAACAAAGTGATTTGGAAATACTTGTATCGAAATCTTGGACTTGGAAATCGACCTCGAATTTTTGAGTCAACAGTTTCACTGTATTGCTCTGGACCATGCAAACGGCATGTCTTAAGCCCATCTCTAAAAACCTGCCGAAAAATATAAAAGCATCTAAAGCCTGGTCCGTGAGCCCGTAGAATTTTGTCCAAAGACCCCAAGCTACCCATCCTTATCGCTCGCGCGTAATTATATTGCTGTCGCGACTGTGCGACGCGCGCCCGCAGTGAGTGTGCGAGCGCGACAGCAACATAATTACAGGTAAGGATGGGTAGCTTGGGGTCTTTGGACAAAATTCTACGGGCTTTAGTAGAAACATTGGGGAAGAAAACTTAAAAACCACCTTATTTACCTGATAATAACGACTATAATTGTGTCCACAGACACCTGCAACGCTTGGAGCGCCGCAACTCGATCCGGCAGTCGCTGCACTCCGTGCGATCCATCGGCAGCATCAACGGGCTCTCCGACACCGCCTACCGACGCAAGCTCGCGCAAATGGTACGCACTACCCTACCCTTCTTCTTTTTTGATGATGTTGGCAATACACGTCGAGGTCGACTTGATTTGTGCCATTTTCAAGTATTTATGTGATACGAGTTACAAAATGAGATCAAGTAATGATATAATGAAGGATGATAGATGATACCCCTTCCCATCCTTTGAGTCTCAGTAAAGTTGTGGTGCTTTACTGGGACCTCCTATGGACAACTTGAGAGAACCAGAAGAATCACGATGCACTGTTTTGCTTCACTTGTCCACACTCATGCACGTTCACGAACACTTAATGGTTAATAATCCACCATTATTACACATTAATAGTCGCCCAAACACGAATTTGAGGAAATAAAACAAAACCGCTAACATGACGCGTCACATTCCCGCCAAGAAGTCTACCCTACCCTTTATACACCCCCCTGTAATAGTGTTGCCAATTTGATGCAGAAAATAACAAATTACAGACTAAACTACAAATTGGCAATGATCAGTGAAACTATGATAACCTGCAAACGACGTGTCGCTTGCAACTGTAGGCACTGTAGCTATCTACATATTTCATAGATATACAATATACATAGAACCTAGTAATGTCGCAGCGAGACCTGCTCCTGCTGCAGGTAGTCAGCTTCGAACTTGTACCTATATTTGGAAAATGACGACTCCCCATACTCCATAACAAATCAACGCCCCTTTGCCTTGGAATCAATATTCTACCAACCCTATTATCTGCAATAATGTATTGTTGATTGTACAATTTGTTGTTTGTTCTACTTACAGAGTGCCCGCTCCACCGACACGCTCACCAAAGGCTCGGACTACCGCAAGATGCTCGCGTCCACCACCTCCATGGAATCGATGGAGAAGAGCCAGTTCAACTCCTCACTCGAAGACACTCAGAGCTTCGACATCTACGAGGCTCACAACCCCAACGCTAACGTCATGCCGCTGAAGCATAGCACCTTCATGAAGAAACCTGCGTCTCCAGAGTACTCGATACCCCAAAACAATAATCGACCCTACGAGAATACGCGGCCGTTCGATATCGCGTTCAGAAACGAAGGTTACAGAGACAACTCGGCGCCAGCTAGTGAGGCGCCTTCAGTGACTACTGAAGAGATGCCGATCATACATCATCCGGGTGGGATGACGTCACCGGAGGATACTTTATCGCCGAATAGTGATCAGTATTACACGTCAGATACGCTGCCGCTGCGAGGACAGGGTAGCGATAGGGGCCGGGGCTTCGGGCCCAAGCTGTCGTTCCTGATGGAGCTGCGCTCGCGAATGCCCGAGCCGCCGCCTCCTGCTGCGCCGCCCACTACGTTCGGACAGAGGGCTAATATTGCTGGTAAGTTGTTTGCTTGGGAGAAAATTTAAATTAAATATTTTGGACTTTTGATTTCAAAAATTATAATACCATACCACGGCCGCTCGACTATTGTGGTGAGCCCACTCTTAACACAAGCTTAGGGCCTATTAGTAATTTGGGCAATATAAATTGCTAATAATCTTTAAAAAAAACCAGCTCTTAAGTCTTAATGTTGTTATACACATTTTTACCTCAATTATAAGTAAATTAAATAAACCGTATTTTTATGTCCTCCTGTTGCGGAAAATTATTTTGGGTTACCACTTATTGAATTTCTCCCAAAGTAGTAGAAAACCTACTAAACCTAAAAAAGTTGTGATTTCTTTATTCTTTTTCCAGACCAACAGCAATATTTCGAGGACAACCTACCCAGCCCGCCGATGTACCAGTACGACAACACTCTCTCAGAGAACATCCCCAGTTACGACTCCAGTCCTCACGACCTGAGCAGAGAGTTCGACACGCCCACCCCAGACTTGCACCACCGATCGAAATCCGAAGCGCTACTCGAAACGAACTTCGACTTCGACGATTCGGAACCCAGTCCGCTGCCGATGTCTGAAGCACACCGATCGCATAGTCAACCTTTAGAGACTGCTATGTAGTTCGAATTAGTTTAGGAAACCTCATAGTGCCTTAGAAATTATGAATGATAAGAATTGTTGTGATTTATGAATGTATAGAAAAAAAAGTTGTTGAGAAAGTTCCAAAGTTAACGTTTAATTGCTTGGTTAAATAAAGGTTATGAACGAAGAAAAGCTATCGCTAACTGTATTTTCTAAAGTTTACACAATATCATTACAATTATTTTATGAACCAGTCACAGGGTAAATGTCTACCAGTTTTTTTTTTATTCACAATTTACGATCGAAGTGATAGTGGGACCGCGAATCATGAAAATAACTATTGTCAAATCATAACATGTTGTACGTAAGTACTTTTTGTGTCTTGCACCACTGCCAGTAATGTGTATTAGCCTAAGTTGAATTAAGTTAGCAGAAATAATATTATTCGTATTTTGATAAAAAAGAAGTATTGCTACATTTAGAATTCCCACTTAACGGCTGTCGCGCATGTCGTGGTGGCCAGATAGGTACTTTTGTAATGTGAATGAGGATACAGCAATAATTTCTGTAATTATAACTTTAAATCCTTTTACGTAGTGAGTGACCAAGAATAAAAAGACTGAGCGAGGATTTGTCTTGATAACATAAAAGATTGCATTTTTAAGTGGTCATGGTATATTAAAAATAAAACTATTGGACGAAAAAATTTTAAAGACCTACTATGGAAAGTAGGCGCACGAAATTGATAAATAAATCAATTTACTGTTTAGGGATAGTGCTTTATAGAATTACAAGATCTCAGTTAATGAAATAACTTTATTACTAGCACAATATTTATGTATTTAACGCTATTATAGTATCCAAGATGGGGTAAGTAAACAAAAAATGTAATGTATAATATTTAGGTATTATAATGTTCAAATAAATTGTGCAATAAGTTCTAACTAACGGTGTTAGTTGTATTTATCTACAATATTGCACCATAATCTAAACAAGTTGTTTCAAGACATATCTTTAATATAATGTATAAAGTAGAAATGTAATCATTGTCCGTCCTTATGTGTTTACAAAAAATATACATAATACATTTATGTATTTATATTTACCATAGAGCATTATTTTTATTACATTTTCAACTGTAGATAAATAAGTTAATTATTAATTTTAGGTAAGTAGTAGTATATTAAAATGGTGGTCTTTCCAAACGCATTCTTTTAAATGAGTTAGTTTACTTAGGTACATTAAATCAATATTTCGGATTAACAACAAATTACTTGCTACTTCGTCACATTTTACACATCACTTTTTATATTATTTTATATTTGCTTCATATTTAGATTCTAAATTTGTTAATCTTTACTTACTTTAAACTTGCTTTTATATTTTGTATCCTTATATTCTTAATTATTTATACCTACCTACACGCATTCATTGTAGATTGTACAAAACGGTATGTATTAAAACATATAAAATGTTATTGACAAACATGTGAATAAAGATTAATATCATGAATATTATCCAGTTTTATTTTCTTACTTCAACTCTTCACGTGTTTTATCAAGAATATTAAATGAAAACTGTACCTACTGATTAATAAAACTCAAATAAAAACAAGTAAATATAATTGAATCTCTTATTATTAATAATCGAATTGTATGTAATATTAAAATACGAACACTAATCGAAAAATATGAACACTATAATCGAAACGAATTTGCAGGAAGTACTTGAATAAAATAGTAGAATCCAAAATAATTAAGCAGCAACATTTTTTTTTTCTGCCATTATCGGTGGTTCTTTTCTGTCAGTTAACTAACTGTCAATGTCACAGTCAGTCAATAATCAACAGCTGGCTGGCTGATTTTGAGTTTTAAAGTTGATCGCGATTCGCGATATTGCAATCATTGATCCACTGCAATTTAAAAACAAAAGAGTTGTGTGTGTCTAATTTCCTGAAATCGCATTGTATGACAAGGTCACATTTTGTTTTTGTTAACAAAAACATTAGTATTAATTTGACGAGATCGCGTTGAAAGTGCTATGAGTTATTAAAATAATTTATAAATATTTACTTTTGTGTGATATTTAAAATTGATTTGACGATAATGGATGTGACGGGTTCTATTAACAACGAGCCAACTGTGGACACGATAGAGAATGAGGAAGAAATAATTGACGACTCAGAGGAAAGGGAGTTGGTGACTGACTCGTGTTCCACGAAGGTCTTGGACTCCGCGGAGCAGCCTGTGGACCGATACCGGATCGTGTACATTCTGTTCTATCTCTTTGGAGTCACTTCCTTGGTCCCTTGGAACTTTTTGATCACTGCAAATGATGTAAGTAATGAGTGACTAATTTCTCAGACTTGTCCTTGTCCTATTTCGTTTCTAATTCATGACCATTTTTTGTGACTATGAGATCTCTTTAGTTAAGTATATTAGTTAGTATTAGATTACTAGAGAATAGGTTATAGAAAAAAATCTCTTAGTCTAGATTATTTTACTTAACCTTTAACTGGTGACAAGCGGTCTCACAGGCCGGGCGGCGTCAGTGAAACATCGTTTCACCCCCTTCCCCGTACTTCCTGTGTTTCACCGCTTCAGTAGCTTCAAGTTTAGTTGTGTCTACGCCGTAGATAAGGATATTTGCATCATTCAGCTCCAAATCGGCAAGTTACATCGATGCAAAGTTCAGCAGCGGTCTCTCAGACCGCATGTCACCAGTTACGTGACATTTTTTTCATACAGTTATTTCGTATTTTTACAGTTGTTACTTGAAATTGATACTTAAATAACTCCAAAAAAGAAGCGTAGGATCATTAGTTGGGAATATAGTGCCATACTTTATGAAACGACTTGAAAATTCGCCAGTTGAAAAATATCCGGAAAAGGAAGACTCAATTGGGTCGAAAGCCGAATATGTTCCTGAAAACATCGTTCTGGAGCAAAAGTGACCATGATTCGGAAGCCGAATAAAGTTTTTTTCGGCTTTTTTTTTGAAGATGAAGGACCCANTGAAATTTCATTTCATATTATTTATTAATAATTCAAAGCAAAAAAGGCTTATTACATCTGAATTGTCAAAAAATGACAGCTGTCAGAATTCCGTCGAATTAAAAATCGGACTATAGATTATTTTACTTAAACATATTAATTAGAAATGTGTAGTAGGAAGAGAAAACTAGACTATTTACTAATCATTCTTTGTCAAACTAAACTTAATATTTGAGTTATGTTTTAGAGTTAGAGAACAAAACTCAAAATTGAGGGTACCTATTGATTGACATTGTATTTTGCATTTTTTTTAATTGATGGTAGCTAGTCCTAACAACTGTGTTAAATATTTTTAGTACTGGATGTACAAGTTCCGAGATGTCACCCCGAACAATCTTACGATGGCAGCGCCGGTCCGCAAGTCCCAGTTCCAGGCGGAGTTCACGTCTTACCTCAACGTGGCCACGGCCATTCCCAACTTGATATTCCTCATTCTAAACTCACTCTATGGCCATTTGTAAGTAAAGTATTATTTTGTATATTTAATAATATCTTCTATCTTTTGACACTGATAGATATTTTAGAAATTTTTCATATAGGGTAAACCAACAGTCATTGAACGCTGCCAGTCATTGGACAAAACAACCCTTGAATTTTCTTAAAATGAATATTCCTTCAAATACAATGAATATTCCTTAAAAAAACGCCCTTTTATCTCCATCAGTCGGAATCTCTCAGTTGTTGAAATAGAAATGCTATTTTTAATTCAGTAAATAACTGTCCAATAACTTTCTTAAGTGTCCAATGACTGGCAGTTTACCCTATTTTGATACTTTATCAGTAAGGTTAAATCTAATTAAATTGTCGTTTAACTTTGAGACACTGATACTTTGTTATTTTTTTAGAGTAGTAATTAAAATTGTATGTCTACTTTTTCAGGGTGCCCCTCAAAAATAGATTGCAAGGCTCACTGGTCATCGTCACATTAGCATTTCTGGTGACCACAGCTCTAGTACAGGTGGATACGGATGAGTGGCAAAATACTTTCTTCATCATCACTATGGTTACTGTGGTCATAATGACTGGTAAGTGGCTTTTTTTTGTTATGATCTATTTCATACAATTGAAGGCTACTTGCAGCAATTTATTAGGGTATAAATTAATTAAAGTTTTTGTTTTGATCAATACAAACATTGCTATCAAAATGTCATGGATAAGCATTTAAATTATCTACTTTATAGCATGCAGAATGATAAAGATTGTTATTTGCTAATTAGTATGATTCACACAGCCAGATGTGTTATCTTGTTTGAGAAATGATCAACTTTAGTGAATTAATGTTTGCTGTATTTTAACCATCAAGTATGTAGGTAAAGGTAAAATCTACCTTCACATTTCTTCAATATTTTTCCTTATTGTGATTGAGTGCAGAGGTTTCAGATAGAATTTCTTATTCACAAACTGCTGTTACCTTGTCACCATTACTACTTACTTCTTAATTATGATCATATTATTCTTCATTTGTGAAGAAAAAGTGTAGGTAAAATAAGGCAATACACATTGTATCAATTTACCTTAGTTTGCATTAAAACGATTTTCCAAATTATAAACAATCCTTTGACTGATCCAACATACTTCTATTCTTTAGAAAATTGTCTAAGTGGGTGTTTTGTTATGCAAAAATTTGAACTATCTGCATAATTAATAATTAGTATTCTTCTTTCTATGTTTTAGCGGCCAGTGCAGTCTTCATCGGCGGCCTAGTGGGCATAGCCAGCCGCTTCTCCAAAGAATACATGGCCGCCGTGGTGGCCGGTCAGTCTCTGGGCGGAATTATAGCAGCTGTCGCCCAGATCATCTCTCTGGCCTTCAAGATCTCACCCCTACACAGTGCTCTGATCTACTTCATCATAGCAGACGTCATGGTCATCAGCTCGCTGATATCCTACGCGATGCTGTATAAAATTGACTTCTTCACTCATCATATTTTACGAGGCTGTGGAGGCATGGCAACCAACAGGCACAGAGAGGTTTCAATGCTGCTCATCTTGAAGAAAATCTGGGTGTACGCGTTCAGTATCTTCGCGGTTTTCGCGATCAGTATGGCGGTGTATCCTGGGATCACAGTGCTGGTGGAATCTCACCCGGTCACTCAAGGGACGGATTGGAATAGTAAGTAAAGTTCTCATTGTTTGCATGTTATTTTATCGGAAACATTTCTAGTCTCAGTGTGAAAACAATGGCCTATGTTTAAACTGATAAAATAACTCATACATGCTATCTAGCTTTGTTTAGCTATTCAGAAGTCGGTATCACAAAAAACAGGCAAAATTAATGAAACCGTTTAAAAATGTTCTCATTTTATAAGTATTGATTGAATAAGAACTAATGAAATTTAGTAATATAATACATACCTAGTATTTCGATAATAAATTTTACAAACGTATGTTTGTCCATTAGATATCTACATAATATTTAAATGCTGCTTAGTTTGGGTCTGATAGCTAATTAAATTGAGAGTTTGAACAATTTATTTGTCAGCTCATGGCCAAGATTAGATAAGGAGCGCTGGATGCTGTGCACATAATATTTCGAAGTCATTTATACACTGGTTAGTACATTATTTACATGTAGATTATTGTCGACTGGCACAAGACATCTCCAACTGGATTTATCAAGTACCAAGATGGTATTGATGAGAATGGTCTCTTGGAATGTCGCGCAAACTAAACAAAACAACCAAAGTGATTCACAAATGAACATTGTTTTAATTGAATCATTCTCCGATGTTTTCAATGAGATATCGGAAGGTGACGCATAAAAACCAGATGTTAGGTAGGCTATATTTTTTGTTTTGTTGTAGAGGTTTTCCAATGC